AGTATGAATGGGAAATGAATGATCCGTACCAAAGCCAAAAAGACCAAGCCATCCCCCCCCTCATTAACATAAAAAAACCACAAATGTCATGTGCCAGATGAAGAGAAACTAAATAACGCTGGACATAAACCGGGGAAATTTAGATCCAATCAGTGTACATTTTGTAGCACAAGGAAGAAACATCATGGAAGATACATGTGCGAAACATGCAATGTGGGTCTATGCATGTACTAAAAAGACAAAACATGCTTTGAATAGTGTCACAAAAAATATTTGTTCTTTGAAATTAAAAAAAAAAAAAAAAAAAAACACTGAGTCTTTTTTTTAATCCTTATTTTACTGAGTTTTTTTAATCCATGTAGCCAAACGTCCTTACTATGTAGATACTTATATTTTCACTGCTACAGAAAAATTACATAAACGTTTATTTTTAAATTTTTTCTGACGATTTAGTTTGTAAAATAATGTAAAATATATATATTATGCAATTCTTACATGCATTTGTTTTAAAAAATTCATAAATTTCGTCATTTATTAAAAACATGCACGGGAAAAGGTAAGTTTTTCCCCCTACTACCTAGGTAAGTTTCAAAGTTCTAGACGCGCAGTGGTTTCACAGTACGACCACCACCCACAAAACAATGAGCAAGAGTAGATTTTTTTAATTCATATATTATTTGTCTCTAGGATCATAATATTCAATTTCTAGAGTTTTTAAGTTAAAAAAATTATAAAAATAATATCGTGTGCGTCAAAGGGTTAAGGAAGATACATAAAGATCATAATGCAGCAGCCACAAGAAAAGCTGAATACACAGCTTTAATATAATAATTCCACCATTTTTTATTTTTATGTTAAGTGAAACTTCAATTTGATTTAAAACCTTAAAATAACATAATGAAACATAACTTTAATAAAATTTGTTTGCTAGTTTGGAGACACTTAGGCATGGAACAAATGGCATGTATTTCTGATAAGCCAGTTTGATATCTGGGTATGGTTATGAACAAAACCAAAATTTGATTTATTGTCTTCTAAAAAATGACTATAATCCAGTTATACAGTACAAAGTCCAAAATCCGCACTCGTTGGGACTTCGGCAATTTCGGATTTGGGATTTGTCCGGATATTAGATCATCAGTTTAAATCTAGTAAGATGGCATGTAAAAATTACAAAATTAAAAATATGAAATCGTGATTTATGAAATAATGAAGTATTTATGATCTACAAGGTATCAAAATTTACAAAAAAAAGCTTAATATTTATTATTTGTTTACCTTATTAAACATTTCTTTCAATATAAGTTGTTAAAGTTACATCGTTTTTTGGTGCTAATACTTTAATTCTACTATACTATTTAGACAGACATAATCTCTTGTTCAGTTACATTGTTGAAGTCCTGCAACTGCTGTATCGTGAACTCTGACTAACTTCTCAGCCGAAATTTTTTCGTTTTCAGTAACTTCACTGTCACTTTCTTCACTATCGGTCTTTTCTGGATCTAGAACCATACTACAGATTTTGCCATTCATTAATTGATTGATGATTGAGATGCATTGTCATCACAACGGAAAACTTCTTTTATATCATCTTCATCTATTACTGCTTCTCCACATTTTTTTACAAAATCCATTAATTGGAAAAATTTCACCTTTGTTTTGATATATCCGAAATTCTTTAAAATGTGCGGCTATCATCATCAAATTTAGCTATTATTCACTATACATATTTGGCTATGCATCATGAGCTTGGCGACTAACGACAAGTTGTTCTGTTAACATTTATCTTGCTTCTATCGCACATTGAGACAATTAAGCTTGAATTGTTTTAGTTTAGTTATTTTATTATATTTATTATATTTAGTGTCGAAGTGAAATTAAGAATCGGGACTCTCCAGATGTTTTATTATGCGCGGAGGAGGGGAAAATAAAATGTGCATGGGTAAAGCCTACCAGAAAAACGTTGTTGATGGTTTTGAGGTCCGGAATTTAGATCATTCCAGATAATGGACGTCCGGATTTTGGACTTTGTACTGTATAGCAATTTCACTGCATTGCAGTGAAGAACTGAAAATAAAATTTGATATATTGTTTTCTAAAATACATATGACTATGATTTCATTATACAGTCTAGTTATAGTTTTAGCCACTCGCTAGCTTAAATTTTGGTCCATGTCTGCAAAAATTTTAGGTACAAATAATGTTTCATGTTTAAATCAGCCTCTTTTGATTGTTTGTTACATTTTTAGCATTCATGACCATTTTAGAATACTTAGAAACTGCAGCTTGCTCCTTTGTACATTAAAATAAGATGTTCCCTTCCTATAACTTCTTTCTCGAAACTATTTGGAACCAATTTATTGGCCTTTGTCATAAAGTCATTTTATTCTTTTGAAATTACTTCATCCAGGAAAGTGACCAAAAATTTTAGTTTGCTGTAAACCCACCTCATGCTTATTAAAGATCCCAATAAGCAACATAAAAATTCCAACATGATATCAAAGTGAATGCTGCAATAACATATGAATAGTTGAAACATCTATTTAAGAATCAATCTTTATGAAAATTGAGACAGTTTCCACTTAATTAGGATCAGATACTATACACAGCAATAAACATGAGTTGTATTTTTACAAAAATGCTTATTGTTCGATTCAACTTAAAGGGATGCTGCAGTACAAATAGAATATGACAATTACAATGCATCTGTTTAAGTGCAATAATATATATTTTTAATATTTTCATTCAGTTTTTGGGAAAATAAATACCTGACATAACTTTGGAGGTATTACATTAGAAGTAACAGTTTAAAGAATTACAGAAAATTATAACTAATATATTAACAGTAGACAGATAAATTATGCTATGTTTTATTTAGTTATTCTCTGCTATGCATTTCCTAAGTGAAGGAAATTTCATCTTGTGTTTGAATTCTTAGAATTCATTTTTGACATACAGTGCTTGCCAATAGTATTAAAAAATAGTTATAATGATTTTCAAATACTTAACTTTTGAGACCAAAATATTTTTAATTTACATATTGAAAAATTATAATTCAGTAACTTGTAAAGTTTGTTTACACTGCGAATGCCTATATAATTACAGAACAAAAATCACAATCAGGTAAGTGCAATAATTATTTGAACTGTAGAAGTGGCAGGTATGAAAAATGCAATAACTAATTGCACTTAAAATTATTTTCCTTTATAGAACATATGTTGGTAGTATGCACATACATCACACAATATATCAGAAATAAATGCTTAAACATATCAATCTTAGAAAGCAATAAAAATCTTCAATCGTATACTTTTATCAAAACAGCAGTACATGACTGGATACAGCAATTGTATAATAAAAATAGCAGTAACAAACGCAGAAATAAAATAAACAGATGTAAATGAAAAAATAAAATTAACAAATAAGAAAATGTGACAGGCCATGCACATATTTTGCTACCAGATAAAATTTGATCACAGAATAAGCAAGAGTGGAAAATGATCAGTTTTACTATTAGCTATACTTCGTTGCCAACAGTGTGTAAGTACTGGCCATGGATTATGTGCTTGCTATGCTGCTGCAATGGAATTTACCAAAACTAAAATAGAATACAAGCTCTTCAGAAGTCTTCACACCATTGAATAACACTTGAACTCAGATGATTAAATTAATTACTGGTAAATATTATATGAGGATAAACACTAAAGATCATAATAAACAAAGTTTGTGATTAGACTAATGAAAAATGATATTAAATATCGTTTATTAGAAGTGAAGTGAGGATTGACAATAGTACAAAGCTCGTTAAAATTATTTCCAAATTTTACCGAAGCATGAACATTAATACACATGGATGTGAGTGAATTTAGTAAGAAACTTCTCATTTACGATTTTATTCTTACTATAATTAGTCTTGCATTGTATTTTTTTATTTGAAAGCTTATTGCGTGAGTTTGTGATTTTCACATAGAGTTTAATGAACACTAAGTTAACATCAAATTCTGCAATAAATTCAAAACATCTTCATGACACTTGCGAAATGATGAAACACGTTTGCAGAAAGCATTGCTAAGGAAGTATGCAGCATAATGAATGATTTAAGTAATTTAAAGATGACTGATGAAGCTAGTTCAGGATGAAATTCAATGGAAGCTACACACACTTATATAGCCTATGTCTGCAAAACAGTACGTTCAAAATGTTTACTAAAAATTGATCAAGATTTTATTAACCATTGTGACATTTCAGTTGGACACTGTAATCATAATTTTAATCGTAAAGTTAAAATGCATAAAACTGCACTGCAGATTATCCTATGTTTGTGGATTCAAGATAAAAAAGACTACTGTATTGCTGTCTGTAAAAACTTTTAGACTGCAAAACAAGAGTAGCTGCATGTGCAGTCTTCACAATGAACTAAATAATTTTCTAAGATCGTAAAAGATGCAACAACTTAGGTTAAAATTTTCATATTAATAAATCTTTTTAAGCATCAAGAGGAATTTCATTGGAAATTTTTATCATATGTATGGACAATGAATAGGTCATACATCTTGGAAGTGCTGCGATGTCTGTCAGAAATAGTCCAGAGAAAAAAGTCACAACAGTGTAGATGTAAATCCTTCTTCCTCCAAACATGATAATACTACTCCCAGATACTTTGTTTTTCATTGAAAAGTTTCCACTAAAATGGAAACAAACATATTTCCCTGGCATCATGTTTTCTGTTTTCTCTTGCATGTACAAATTTTTATTTTTCAGGATCAACTGTTATTCCCCCCCCTCAGTATAAAGTATAATATTTTGAATTATGATTTGCATTAAATAATTATCACTTGCATTACAGTAGTATTCAGCTTAGGTCACAGTTATCCTGAATAACTAAAGTTCTACTGAATTTTGAAAGTAACAAGTTCTAAAAACATATTCAGAAACATTTTCAACAGACTTTCTATTTGCAAGAAACATTATTACTTAACTTTTAAAAGAATGCACCATACCTCTTCACAGAATTACAGTTCATATCATTGCTAATTTTCTTATATACAGAATCCCAGGTTTCAAGGTCTTGCACAGAAAAACTCACTTTATTCGCCTGCATTTTGAAATTACCATTCAGGTATAAACTTGAAGGATAAAGAGAAAAAAAATTAGTTTTCCATAGCCTTTAAATCTGAAAATTATTTCAAATTTTTAAAAAAGAGATTATACAGGCTTTTATTAATATTTCCGTGATCATAAAATTACTTTAAAAATAATCTATAACTCACTGTCTTAACAACATCAGTATTTGTTCATATTAAGTCATAGCAAACAATAATTATTAAGTAATTAGAGCATATAGGAGAGCAAAAGTAGAAAACAATGAGAAAAACTTACAAATTATGGGCATCAAATTTTACAATGCATTAAAAACACAAATGAAATTATCCATTATTACAATGTAATTGTTGACAGATGAATTCTAAAAATATAAAAATGTTTCAGAGTAAATTATCTGAGTATGCTATTTAGCAAAGGCCAAACAGAAATTATTAACTTCATTTCATGTTTCACAAACTGTTCACTTTATACAGAAAACTTGGAACACACGTTTCTAACAGCAGAATTTTTTATTTCTATTTTTCTGGTGTTAATAAGGAAAGGGCTTGCATTTATATAATGAAAAATTATTTAAAGGGATACATGGTGACCTTTGGAAAGGTATCCCACAAGAGATAACTGAAAAATGTAAGAAGAAATTAGTTTAATACACCTACAAAGAACAGTTAAGATGCACTAATACATTTTCCTGGGTTATTTGATAACATACGTTCAACTGCCCTCTAGCAACTTAAAACTTCTGCATGTATACTGCACACTTAATTTAACAAGCCGGTGAGCTACGGACATACAAAATAAAATTTGTTCAGCATCAGGAAATAGTCTTTGCATGCAAGCTATTACCCTTCATCAAATCTAAAATGACATATGCAGAATATAATTGTGTATATATAACACAAAGAAATAGTAAAATATAGGCACAGCCAGATTATCACTAATTTTTTAAAATTTAATTTGACTATTTTACAACTTTACACAATAATTTAGAATAATCTTCATTGCTATTAAATGATGACACATATTAACATCTCAAGCTAACAATAAACAGAACATTTTACTTAAAAATTTTTGATAGGTTACAAAAGCATCAGTTAGTACAAAAAGAGATAATTAAACTCCTTATTCACAATATTTTTCCAATGCAAGAAAGAAGCATTTCCTTAATTTCATATTCAGTTAAAGCAAAATCAGTCCACTTACTACACATTTCAATAACAAATATTTTTCAAGCAATACAGAGCTGCTAAATTTGTAATGATGTATTACATTATGGTATATACTTTAACATAAAAAGGTAGTTAAATTTGCCTTCATTTATTACCGTCAACACTACCAAATATCAAGCTGCAATATCAAGTATCTAAATACTTTGAACGATCTAATCATTTTGTGAGTCGAAAGAATATTTTCCAGCTATCAAGCTATATAGTAGTCTTTACTCAAAAATTCACATCATTATGTCCAAAATTAAAGTAAATATGGAAGGAATTAACAAGCAATGTTCATTCACCAAGTAATATATGCCATAAAAATATTTTAGCAGAAAAAACTTTACTTATTAGAAATAATTTAACGAAATTTTAACAGAAGAAAGGAATAATTAAAATTTACTTTTGTTAATCTGTTCAACTCAGAATACAAAGATTGCTAAATTTCTGCACATATACTTTCAGTAATGGCTGGATTCTGCAAGAAAAATATTTGGAACAAGGCATCAAAATTTACTTCAAGCCCACAGCATTTTAGTTTCTCTTCCTAAATGCAAAGAATATCATGACCATATCAGTGGAAATAATAGCAATAAGTAAATGAGCTATAAAGCAGTGTCAGGACAAGCACTTTGTGAGCCACAAATGGCATAAGTCAAGCTTTGTTGCTAAGCAATCAAACATTTGCTACATCACAGAAACTGGTATAAGGATTTTATCCAAATGTTTTAACTGTTCAACTAACTTTATGTCAACCTGGTATAAGAAACAACCAATAACAGTGAAGGAAATACAATTGGCATTCAGTTGATGAGTTACATGCACATTCACACATGAAATTAAATATCCCTGACTGGCTATGCTTTAAACCCTGTTCCACAGGTATGAACAGTGTTAATGATTTTTATGCCTTAGATCTATGACAATAATGATGACTATTATGTGGATGCTTCCTTATGATCCAGTTTGAACTGCAGAAAAGCATATGCCACTGCATCTTCATCACATAACTTTTGTTGACCTAAGTATAAAGATGTTAATATTGTGTTCTTTTTCTTTCACATAACTTTCTACAAGAAATTCATTTTTTCTTAATTCTCTCCAAATGCACAACAATTCTGTTGGTGCAAAAATGCCTTTTTGTTATAAAATACACTAGATGTTTCACTGATACTGCAAGCATTTTCTGCTTCGGTTATTTTAATTTTGATTAAACACAGTCCTTTACCTTATGCACGTTATAAATATCCATTTCATTCAAATTAAAGATATACATCAGTTTTACAAAAAAATTTATTCCTTTTACATTAAAAATATAGAAAGAATATAATGATATAAAAGAAGTTAATTATAAAACAGAAATAAGTATAACTATGCTAATCTGAATATGAATTAATTGAAAAGAAAGAAATCAGCAGCAGAAAACTTAATACCATAATCATTACTGAAGAAACATGGAAAAATACTTTAAATAAATAATAATAAAAAATAACTCTTCCCCCAAAAAGTAATAAAAAATTACTTTGCTTTTACATAGATGTGCAAGAAAGGTAATAAATGTCTTATCATAAACAGAGCATCTAATATTACCAGTTCATAAACATTAATAACTGATATATTGATAATAAAATATAAACTATTTACTTGATGGATAAAGTGGTATGGCACAATGATTTGGCTTTTGATACCTTGGATTTGTTCTGTTAAAATAAAATGTATTTTTTAATCATTGGTTGATGCAGCAACTAGAAAATAACAGGTAGTTTAAAAATCAACTTTTATATAACTATAAGATTTTTGAATTAATTTATACCTGAAATAAGCATTACATTAGCATTTAAAAACAACTTACTTTGGGTTTTACTCCAGTTCTTTTAGTTTTTTTCCCTCCAAAATCAATATACCTTAAAAAATGCAATATAAATTGGAATAAGTATTAAATAGATGCATGAATAATGATTTGAAAAAATAACATGAAAAACAGGTCAGTGGCATAGCGAGAGGGGGACAAGGGATCTGTCATGCCCCTGCGCCAATTGCAGAGTCCAAATGCCAAATGGTCCTCAAGACTAACAAAATTTTCCAGAAAATTTCAATTTTTATTTTGATTGCTTTCTGGGAAATATGTTTTAAATCAATGATTATTGTAATATAACTAATTATTTCCTTTCTTGGTTTGTCTGATGAAATATTTTATATACACTCTTTTGCAAAAAAATTGAAGCACCATGAAGGAAGTGGTTGTTTTTGATGAAATTGAACATGTGTATAGCTCATATACAGATAATAAAATAAAAAAATCAAGGTCATAGTACCTGTTCACGGCTCACAATCACCCATGAGTGTTCAAATTAATAGTTGGTCTAACCGCCCCTGGCAGCAATGCATGCTCGAATTCGTCCAGCCAAGGAGTGGTAGAGGTTCCTAATGTCATCCTGTGACACATTCTGCCAGGCATTCATCAGTTGTCGCTCCAGATCTGCGATATTTTGTGGTGCCCACCATGTCCCAGACATGCTCGAGTGGTGAAAGGTTTGGTGACCTTGCTGGCCAAAGAAGCGTATCAACCACATGGAGATAGTCCAGAGATATGTGGGTGGTATTTGACCTGGCATTATCTTGTAGGAAAATGGCCCCAGGATGACGTGCCATGAAGCGTAACGCAACTGGCCGCAGGATGGTATCGACATATTGTTGAGCTGTTAAAATTGTACGGAGGACAACTAAAGATGACCTGCTCTCATAAGAAATAGCACCCCACACCATCACACTGAAGTTTATTGCCTGTATGCCTATACAAAGCCTGAATGGGATTGCTGGCTCTATCCTCTCCAGACACGAACACAGTGGTCATCTGCTTCAAGAGTGAAGCAGGATTCATCGCTGAACACTATACGAAGCCAGTCTGATGGCAGCCATGATGATCGGCTGCGACACCACTCCAGACGACTCCGCTGATGTTGTGGGGTCAAAGGCAAACATCTTAAAGGCCTCTGTGAGCATAACATTGCCTCAGACAAGCGTCATGAGATGGTGGACGGTACCATGGGAGATATAGACGTGGCTGTAGTGCGTTGAATAGTCAACAATGATACCGTTGGGGCGGTTTGGGCCTGGTGAACAATCATCCTATCTTGCTTCCCATTTGTACTCCTTGGCCTTCCAGAGCCTTTATTTCATTGGCAATTTCCTTGTTGCAACCACTATTGCCAACATCTTTGAACAATCATCCTATCTTGCTTCCCATTTGTACTCCTTGGACTTCCAGAGACTTTATTTCATTGGCAATTTCCTTGTTGCATCCATTATTGCCAACATCTTTGCACAGCAATGTCTGTACGCTGCAGGTGGCGGCCTATTTGCTCGATATGACCACCCAGCTTCACGCAACCCTACAATGTGACCACGTTCGAAGTCATTTAGTTGTTTGTAAGGTTTTTGATATTGTTGTATGGCATCTTTAGTTGCTTCTTTACGGAATTACAATGGCAGCAACAAAAAAAGATAAATTTTACGCCTTTGTTACTGGTTTTATACTTTGCAAATTGTGCACTAGAAATGTGCACTATGATCACAATTCCTGTTCATTTACCTTGAAACTTTTGATCATTTGCATGTTCGATCAAGATGTTTTTGCATACCAAATTTTGTCACGATTTCAAAAGTCCTTCTTGGTGCTTCTAATTTTTTGCAAAAGAATGTATGTTTATATGATATATGTTTACAGTATTATGATATATGTTTACATTTATATATCAAATATTTCCCTATGTAAAACGTTCTTTCTTTCTGAATACTTTATTTTTCTAAAATAGTGAAATATTTTTATTTTTTTAAATGAAATGCAAGCACAGCTCAAACTTTTTATTTCAAAATGATGACAAATAATGCACTGCAGTCTTTTATTACATTATATGCCCTTCGATCTTGAAATATTATTTATTTGGCCACTAAACTATATTAATCAAATACAGTCAAAAGTCGTTAATCCAGACTCGTCGGGACTTTAGCGATTCCGGATTATAGATCATCAGTTTAAATCTGGTAAGATGGCATACAGAAATTATAAAATTAAAAATATGAAACCGTAATTTATGAAATAAAGAACAATTTTGATCTAAAGGGTATCAAAATTTACAAAAAAAAAAAAAGCTTAATATTTATTTGTTTACTTTATTAAAATTTCTTTCAATGTAAGTTGTTTAAGTTGCTTCGTTTTTTATGTGATAATACTTTCTCTTTAATTCTATAAAAAGACATAATTTCTTGTTCAGTTACAAAGTTCCGCTGTTCAAGTCCTATAATTGCTGTGTCGAAAATACCGACTAATTTGTCAATTGAAATTCTTTCGTTATGTCACTTTCTTCGCTATGGGAAGCGAATTATAATGACGAGGAATTTGATTTAAATCATATCAAAGACGGAGTACATTGAGATGAAATACTACATTTAGTAAGGAATTATATGCCAAATAAAATAAAACATCTGCCCTGAAGATAAGGATAGTGCTGACAGATCAACTTCCAGTTCATTGTGCGCCGCGACATTCCCCCCCCCACAGAATTGATAAACAGATTTCGGAATGGTTAGATAAACAAACCCATTATCCTTTATCCATTTTTTGCAGCAATTCCACTTTTTGTTTAATGAACTTCGAAACATACTTTCGCTTTGTAGATCCTTTACATATTAGTAAATATATATCAGAAATTCTATTTGACATAATCGAAAGTTCAAGCTTACTTTCATAAAATTGCTCTAACAGTCTGCAAAAAATAATAAGCCGGATCCAATTCGAAGATTAAGGAACAACGCAATCTGCAACATTAACTGAATTAGATAATTTTAGCTTAGCTTATACCATCCATTATACATTAAAAGCGCATTCGTAAACATATTTTGTGCATGCGCCCAAGCATATTTGCAGCCGTAAAGGTCTTACGCGCATGCGTCAACACGACGCATGCACAGAAAGTTTGTAGCTTTGAGGTCCGGATTATGGGTGTCCGAATTAACGACTTTTGACTGTAGTAAGTCACATCAAAAGAAATTAATATTATGGACTTTTATTTGGCTTGACTCCTGATATCAATCATCAAGAACAAATGTTGCAAGTCTTTAGGTATGTAAATATTGAATTTACAAGCAAAAAAGTGATACTTTTCCGTTTTGCCGGCGCAAACGATAAAGTCGGCAATAATGGTACAACTGACGCCAAACGAAATATCTTCACTGGTAACCTTTTACGCTTCATTTTCGAAAGAAGTCGCAGCCATTTCTTATCAGATTGAGTGTTTCTTTCAATACTGGCATACAATTACAAAGAATTTTTACAAAAGATAGTTAAATTTTATAACCTAAGACCATTTGCGGTAATTAAGTCAATTAGGATGCAATCACACCGCTCACCCGAAGGCAAAAGTATAGGAAAGGCAAAATTAAGGGTTAAATTAGTCAATTCTAATGAGAATGCACTAGCGAAGTAAAGCACTGCAGTTTTACATAATTTCTGAGTAAGCTATTCGTATGAATTGAAATAATTCTTGCATTTAAACTTGTATTCAAAATTAAGATTTAACTGAAAATTAATGTAGATAATTACTGAGAGAATTATATTTTTGTAGCCTAGTTTACGTGAGATGTGATCTCTTTGGGTCACGTGATACAAACTGGCGAATCAGGATGTTGAACTATGAAAGCATAGTAAATTCTTAAATTAATGTCTTTTTACAAATTTATTGGCTTTTTTTTTTCAAAATTTTAAATCATATTAATATGTTTATGCCTTCAAAATAAAAAATTCTTAGAGCTAAAATTTTTCTATGTTTATACTGTATGCTGTCGCCAACAAAGTGTGCTTTGCAAGATTTGTGCTGGCGAAACGGAAAAGTACTAAAATAGTTTCTATCAAAGGATCTTTTGGGGGATTTATTGAGGTACATGCTACAGATGCAGCCTCAATTGAAAATATAATTTAGAAAAATTAAATTCTGATCAGATTTCATTAACAGACATTACAATGGGAATTAAAAAATGCTTTAAAGAAAACTGTTAAACATGAATCTGAAACAAAACAGAGTGCCAGAGCACAAGCGGTTAGTGTTACTCTCAATGGACCAGAAGAACTAGTAAAACTACTAAAAAAATTAGCAGAGGCCAGTTCTGCCCAAGTGATACCAGAAGTGAAGCTACAATTTTATTGCAAAATACACTGAAATTAAATTTCATAATTTAAGTCCATTTCTGGCATGAAATCTTGAGGAGAACTAATCCTACGCAGCTCAGATTAAAAGATCCTAAAATGAGTTTTAGAGAAGCACTGCATGACCATGAATTATTAACAACTGAACTTGCAGAAATTCGAGACAAGATCTTTGAAAAGATAATATCTCTTTGCAAAAAATCGGGTATTGATGAAACAATCTGTGTTAGAAGACAACAAAATATGCTCAGAGAATAGGCTAGAGTTATTGGCCTTTCCACAGAAAGTGAAATTTCTTGCGTTATGAAAAGCATTCTTGATCATCTGCAGCAGGAAATAAGTATAAGATTTAGACAACTAAGTGATCTTAATTCCAAATTTGGATATTTATTGAACACTGAAAATTTATTAAACAAGAATAATGTTGATAATGATCTTGAAAAGAATTGTAAAAACTTAAGTGAATTTTATTATACAGTCTTTAATGGAACCGAACTATAGGTTGAAATATTTTGCTCAAAACAGTTAGAGGATATTATATTTGTGGATATAACTGTGGATGAGGAAATGTTTTGGTGATCAATATATTATGTATAGGTGTTGTAAGATATAAGAAAAGAAAAAGGAGCAATGAACAAGGAATAATTATTTTTTTTTTTGGTCGAAATGTGTTGGTAAACAAAAAATGTATAATTTATGCATATTATACAAATAAACAAAAAATGTGTTTTCTCAGATACAAATGAGTCTCAATAAGGGGTATGATTTCTGTAATGCACATAGCCCAAGAAGGAGAAGGAAAATGCCAGGTGGTTTGCTGGACAGAAGTAATTAAAAAAAAAAAAAAAAAAGAAAAAAGTAGAGAGGAGGAACGAGAAGACCAGTGGGGCAAAGGGAACTCTTGACCCTGGATGTCAGACTGGACGGTCCGATTTTTTTTTTTTTTTTGTGGCTGAAGGGCCATCGCCATTTTTTTTTGTTATGCACAGATTATTTTTTCATCTGGCGGAGACTTATCTATTCATGCTTGTACCTATAATGTATAATAATCAAGAATTTACTTATTAAAGTTTATTGTTAAACCAAACAATAAAAAGGTGTCATCTATGCATCGATCGACAGTAACATGTGTGAAGGAACTGAACCCCCACGCTACGGATAATACAAAAATTCTTATTTCCATAGCACGACTACGGCAGTCAACTACATATACTATGAAACATTTATACACAATATAGCCTCTTCTGAAGTGATGATTTAATAATTCATAAATATATGTATAAGACTACGAGAAAATATAGTTTTTTAATGCTAATATACGAAACTTAGAATATTCTAGTGGCAAATCTGCACTCCTGTAAGTAGCAGCATTAACACAACTCCATATATGTAAATTGAATTTATATAAAAATAAATAGATACTACGGAAATATTACTATGATCTGTACCCAGTATTACTAACTACATTACGGATAACAGTGCTATGATCTGACTATAGATCATAGCACTGTTATCCGTAATGTAGTATCCGTAATGTTACATAGTAGTATCATGATACTATACTACTATGTAAGATGATCAGCTTGGATTCCAGTAAATATAAAGACTTTAAATAAAAACTGATCTAAATAGCAAGCTGAAATAAAATAACTTAATTTAAATTTTTATTATAATCTCTGAAAACATTATCTTACCCGGATTCTAATTTTTTGAATCGTTCATTACCAGCAACAACATACTTTTGTTTAGGAACCAGATCATCTAAGCTGAGAATTGAATGTCCATTCACAGGCGTGTAAATATTTCGAACAGCACCAAAACTAGGTTGGAGACGTTCTGTTAGATAGTTCAAGAACATTTCAAAATTACGATAGTACTTAGTATTTACAAGGCATCTATAACCAGAAAAATGTTCGTCTCCGTTGACAAAAATCTGAATCCATTTAGCTTCAGGAAAATTCATCATATTTCCATTCTGATGCACATAATCATTGTTTTTCAGATGACTAATGCGACTTTTTGACGACCGAGTTACAAGTTTGCCTTTCACTTTTAAATTTTGACTAGACATGATGATTTTCTATGATACATCATACAATCGTCTACGAAATTTAGAATAACCATAACTATCTCTAAGCCGGTTTGGGCAAAATTTTGACATCGTTTCCCCTTCACTGATTATTCAGTCCTCGATCGGTTACAAGCATCGTTACCATAGCAACGAAAAATTTGTGCATGATAAAATTGTTACATTTAAGGGAAAATGAAATATTCAGGAATAGTTAGTAATTTACTGATATTACAGACTCCATAGAAGTTCCTTTTCGGACTTTAAAATTCATTATTATTATTAAACCGAATATATAACTCATAACAGTTGCGCGCTCAAAAAATTGATTTCATTAGCGGTAAACTGTTGCCAAATTACTCTAAGAATTTATCCGTCAACCTTTTCACGAAGAATGTGAAGAGGAGAATCGTGCATTAATAAATAAACTGATTTACACATTCCTTCTTGAGGTGAACAATAAATAGAACTGTTTTTTTAGGACCTCAGTCTTTCTGACATCCTTGTTGTTTTCACAAACATATAATTTTTGTTCTGTTCGTAATAAATGCTTAAATATGCTTGTTTACTAATCAGCTGTAAATTATTCTTCATAACCTGTAACCCTAAATCAGAAATATGAGCACATTTGCTTGTCTTCGTTCTTATTATCCTTCTGATTAAAAATGCCTTGTTATGTCTCTAGAAAAGTACGGAGACTATAGCTTGAAAACTGTGGTTATCATTTGCAAGAGAGTAAGTGTCTTTTTACGACATCAAAATATTTAATATTTGTAACCTTTACAACAACGGGAGCCTTACTAGTAGGTAGAGACAGTGCGCTAGGAAAAAGAGCAACCAGAAAATATCTCTTAACAGAAGAAAACGAACCAGGGCACTGGTTTGTGACGTCACGAGTAGTTGTCTGAGTCGAAACCCCGACTAAGCAACAAAACAAAATACGCTACGCGAAGTGGCTAATCGCACCGAAGGTGCGAATAGATAAAAGGCTATTCACACCAAGGAGGTTCTTGATTCACACCACTTTGATTCACTCCTTGACACACCACCTACGTTCGCGCATGCGCACAATCAGCCCAGGTATTAGCATTTTACTCCGATTTCCGTAAGGCAGGCAGTATAGCGAGAGCGAAGGTTGTTAACCCTAACTCAGCAAGCCCCCCATAACACAAGACATCCTCAGGATATCCTATTTAAGTCCCAATGTCTCGGGAAACACTTAGGATATCCCAAGGATATTGATTCTCAGATATCCTGAGGACTTCTTAAGTCAACATCCTGAGGATATCTTGTTCAAGTCTCAGTGTCCCGGGATATACGAAGATTTCCTGAGGATGTTGATTTTCAGATATCCTGAGGACTTCGTAAATCAACATCTTAAGATTGTCCTGTTCAAGTTGTAATGTCCCGGGATATAAGATCTCCTGAGGATGTTGTTTCTCAGATGTCTTCAGCACTTACTTCTTATGGAAGGTGATATCTGAAAATATTATAGTGAAGTAACCTTGTACCACACGCAAGTCAAATTATAAGAATCGAAATCTTACGCTATGGATATTCTGCATATAAGAATTTAATTGTTATGCTTACACTTATTTTTGTCTTGTATATGTTGGCTGTAAGTAAAACTCAAAATATTTTCAAATTTTTGTTGTTCTTTCACAATGCCTAGTGATCAGAGCACTTTCTTACAAATAATAGGGACGCGTTTTCAATCGCTTTGAGTTTCATATTCAAAGTGTGTTTAAGATTAAATTCTAATTGCTACATAATTATATTTTGCAAACATTATTTTAGATATTTTGCTAATATCTTTGAATCCAAATATTATTTACGTTACAGGTTCGCTCAGAAAATCTTTCACGAAGACATTTATCCTATGAACAGAGGGGCATGATGTACTATGCTTTAAGTAAATAATTCTTTAGGCTGCAGAGAATTAAACCGCTAAACTCTGGTAGTTCGACAGGATTCAGATCCTGGGAAATGAACAGGCTGCATGAGAGTTTTCATGTATAGCGTATAAACGAGCCAATCTCTCTTAAAGTAGTTACTAAAGATAAGTAAAGTCGTTAGTAAAGACATTCATTTCCTTTGTTAGACTGCCCTCTAGTGTTTTGCCACAGATCCTTAAATCAGGATAATCAATTTAAAAAAAAAAAAAAATTCCGATGACCGGTACTAGCCGTTAGAGGCAAAGGCCACTTAGGCCGGAAGCGGTGATCACTTTATTATGAGAGTAATAGATGGGCCATCGTTGTCTCCTATGAGGGTATCGACAATTTACATCCATGCCTTCTCCGGCATTCGAACTTGGGCCCTTCGGTACGGCAATCAGTCACTAACCACTTTCCCGTCTCTGCGGCACTAATTAGAAATAATGCCGCATTAAGTTGCTTGGAAATATGGCGCAATGTGGGGTATTAAGGCATGGCTGAACCATGCACTTATTTAATCAAGTTATAAAAGTATTCTATTAAATTCATCGAAGATTTTAGAGCAAAACTTATTACTGAAAGGGTTTAGATCCAAAAATAATCCCATTAGCTAGTTCTTGACATAGAAATAACTATAGTTTGAAACTGCAAAATAAAAAAATACTTTTTGATCGCTTACACTATTATATTAGTAATGAATGATGTTTATTTCTGTGCAGTAATAGTAACAAGAATTTTATTTAATCCACGAAATTTTTGTTTACAGACGCAGTTAAAAACTAATCCGTACGAGGTTTAACTTGCTTTAATTTGAATTTATAAATAGAAGAATAATTTTATTGGACAAAAAAATTCATTGCAGTTTCTTCGTTCATTTTCTGGTAAGTTCTAATGAGAATTAGTCTTTCAAAGCGACTGAGGTAAGAAGTAACTTATTTTTTACCTCTAGGTAATAGAATGAGGGGTTAAGAATGGGAAGAAATAACCCTATATATAATATAAATAAGTTCTTACCCTTCTCAAACCTCCAGAGTCGTAGCTAGGCTTTTCAGCGACCAGGGACAACTGAAGATTTCGCGCCCCCTACTGCTTGCCAAGGATGGAAAACATTTAATTCTAAAATGTCGTAATATCAGTTTGGCGCCCCTTGGATTCTGCGCCCGGGGACAGGTGCCCCCCTTGCCCCCCTCTAGTTACGCCCCTGCAAACCTCACAAAACTCAGAGAGCTCTTTAACCATACAAATATCCGGTTGCTAAACAAAGCGCGAAAAAATATATCCAGTACTCTTCAATCTTATACGTTACGCACATGACTCCTCATAATTTAACAATAATTACTACTTTATTAATTTATTTGTGACATCCAGAAGAAGCAGTAAACACATTTCTTCAAGGGAAATAACACAAAGTAAAATGTTGTTATGAAAACTCAAAATTAGATAACGGATTAAATAGGTGTTCAAACTTTAAATTAAAAAGATTTAATTTTTAAATTAAACGCATTCTTTAAACTCAGCAATTTTATTACTTTATTTTGTACTATAAATAACAATTGAAGTTGAAAATCTTAAATCTTTGTTTCCAAATTACTATCAATTTTCTTAAAACTGCGACACAACTTTTCTTTGCTTTTGAGAAACCGAGCTTTGCTCAGAATGTAACACCTCTAAGCACTTTTTCTGTAGCCGAGTCCCCAAGAAGATTTCTCTTTTGTTAACGGTTTTATTAGATTACGGCAAAGCACTCGAGGGCTATTTGCCTTAAGGAAGGGATAGCCTTTGTGGAGTACTTTCTAAAGGAAACTGGCTCGTATACACGTTACACATGGGGAAAACCACGAAAGCGCCCATGCAGCCAGCCCGTTCGCGGGATTCGAACCTCGGACCGAACTACCAGTGTTCAGCGACGTTACCGCTCGGCCGCTGGTGGGCCTTTTGTTAACGTGGCAGATTTGTGTGTCAGACTTTCCCTTTTTCGTATTCCCCTACAAGGGAAACATCCCTTTACGACAAGGGACGCAGAATACCACCAAGGGTGTTAACTGCTCCGTAATAGTGATATCCTTGAAGAACCGCACAAAGTGGAAAAGTACACGTACTTACTTTCTGATTTTTAGAATTCAGCTATTCTGCTGAAGAATTGCCGTTGTTCCAAATTCTGTTCCAGTTAAGAACTGACTTCACAAACAAGCGTTACATTGAAAGAGTTCGAAAAGTAAGTTTAAAAATTTTCCTTTATTCTACAAAAATGATCAGAACTAAAAAAAATTATCTTATCTATCTAAAAGACGGATTTATAGGAGAATAAATCAACGTATATTATCGGATTCGTCAGAAGATGAAGTAGCATTTAATTATGTAAAAAAGCCTTTGCCGAATTTTCGCACTAGAACATATTCCTTAAGTTCGATTTCAAACTGTGATTCGGAATATGAAATTCATATACCTTGCACTTCGAGCTATAACACTTGTTTTGAAGTTGGTAAGACAGGTACTGAATCTATTTCATTCGAACAGAAAAGGCAAATGAAATTCGGCTTAGAAAATCAAATTAAAAAATTGCGTAGCCTTCAAATTTTGCCTCAGTTATCGTGTATAGAAATAGCAATAAATATTGATGGTTTATCCATATTTTTCAAATCAAATAATAGTTTACTTTGCCCGATTTTGGTGAATTCTACTAGAAAAGCATTTATCGTGGGTGCATATTAGAGCAGTTCAAAACCAAAAGATTATGAATTTTTAAAAGAATTTACCGAGGAAATTGTGAAATTATCTAATGAAGGTATTAACTTCGGAAATGAAAATAAAATAAAATTTTCTATGAAATATATTATATGTGACGCGTCAGCAAAATCATATATTTTGTGTACTAAAGGTCATACTTGATATTGAAGTTGTTCGAAGTGCAATATTGTTGTTAAGTTTTAGAGACATAGGGCATTTTTTGGAAGCAGGAAAGATGAAAAATTAACAAAGCCTTCGTTGGGAATCGAAACGCGGACCTCTGGAATACTGGCCCAGTGTGCAGACCACCACACCAAGAAGGTGCGAGAAATACCATATATACCCCCTTTTAAAGAGCGACTGGAGTTTCTAGGGTACCCAATCACCAAATCCTGGGTGAGGAGAAATCATCATCCATCACCCTTTTAGTTCGAGCGCCACTATGAAGACACTAGGATTTATTTTGGAAGCAGGCAAGATGAAAAATTATCAACCGCCTTCGCCGGGAATCGAACTGTGGACCTCTGGAATACCAGCCTAGTGTGCAGACCACCACACCACGAAGGCATGCCAAGAAGGTGGGGGGAAATACCTTTTAAAGTATGTTAACAATAGGATACGTTCTCCAGGATCCGTTGGTGTACTACGTCAAAATACCGATGTTTATGTCTCAAGA